AATATGGAATAGCCACATTTCAAGTCCTCACTAGCCATCTGTGGCCAGTGGCTATTGAACTGGACAATGTAGCTATGTGCCTAAGAAACTGTGTAGGACTTATAAACTTGAAAATACCAAAACTTCTAAAGAACGTAAGAAGAGGTTTCAGTAAAAAGACAAACATATGACATACTCCTAGAAGTCTCAATACTGTAAAGATATCATTTTTCTCACCCAGATTATTATATAAATTCAACACAAGCCCAATCAAAATTCCAATGATGTTTTTTGGGAAGACTGGACAAAATTCCAGAGACTGGAAGCATAAATGTCAAAGAATGTCAAGAAAATTTGAAAATGACAAGTAAAAAAGATCTGGAGTTTGTCATATCAGATATCTATACCTATCATCAAATATTTATATATTATACCAATTTACCAAAATTATAACAATACAATACTGGCAGATCAATAAAGAGACTAAAAACAACTATAGGTAAGAATTTAGTATATGATAAAGGGGAAATTTTTTAAAAGTGGGAAGGAATATATTAGTAAATATATAGTTTTGGGGCCACTTATAAAAAATATACAATGACATCTATTTTATATTTTATACAAAATCAATACTGCATGAGTTAAGTATTTAAATAAAAACCTAGAAAGCAATAAAATGATAGAAAATCTGTAGTTGAATATTTACCTATTTATGTTTTTTTGGACTAGAGAATCTTTTTAAGATAGAAATCATAAAGAGAACAATACATTTGGTGATGAAATATTCTGTTTATCAAAAACATAAGTAAAAAGCTAATTTCAAACGGATAAAATAATTCCAATATATATTAACAATAAAAATATTAATACATAAAAACAGCTTTTATAGATGAATAAGAGAAAAGATGAACAATCCAAAAGAAAAAAAAACAGTGGGCGAAGGACATAAATAGGTCAATTTACAAAAGAGAAATGCAGAGTTTCACCTATCAAATTGGCAAAGATAACAAGATGATGATCATATTTCACAAATGTGCAAAGAAATGGACACTCTTGATCATGACATGGACAATCTTTCTTGAAGGAAACTTAGCAGTATATATGAAAGCCTTTAAACATGCATATCTTTCCATTTATATGAGGTACCTAAACTAGACAAATTCATTGAGACAGAAAGTAGAATAGACATTACCAGGGGCTGTGGAGAGGAGGAGTAGAGAGTTACTGTTTAATGGGTACAGATTTTTTGTTTGGGATGTTGAAAACATTCTGGAAATGGATATGGTGATGGTTGTATAACATTGTGAGTGTACTTAATGCCACTGAATTATACACTTAAAAATGTTCAAAATGCATATTTTACCACAATTAAAAAAAATTCCATTGCATGACTATAAAATTTATTAAACCATTCTCCTATTGTTGAACATTCAGGTTTTCCCCAAAATTTAACAATTAAAAATAACATTATGGTTAAAATAATGTGTATCCTTTTACACAGCATTTTTATTTGTTAGTATTTATCCTATAGTAATAATGAGTAATATGTGTAAAGATATACATTTTACTTCCTGGCACTGTTTGTAATAACAAAGAGTGGGAAACCTAATAACTAACATTATAGGATTGGTCAAATTATTGTACACAATGGAAAATCAGACAGCCATTAAAAAGTATACTACAGACATATACCTATTGATATTAAAGGGAAAAATGATTAAAAATAGTGTGTGTGGTAAACTTCAAAGGAAGTTAATGTTCATATGTGCGTAGGAAAGTATCTGGAAGAATATATAAGTTTTGCCAGTAGTTATCTCTGAGTGAATGGGATTTTGTTACTTTTTTTATGCTCTTTTTCTTGCTTGTTAGTATTTTTCTGCAATAAGCATGAACTCTAATTGTAAAAAACAAACAAACAAACAAAAAAACTTAACAGAAGAAACTTAATTTTGAACATTTAAATATCTTCATAGTCATTTCTCCTTTCTCCGAAGTAATACCATGCCTTCACTTACTATACAAAGTGCCCCTTCCCTCCCCACAAAAGAAAAACCAGCTGATAGAGTGCCTGTAAGTTATTTATTATATGGCACCAGCAGATAATTCTTTCCCTGAACTAAATAACTATAAATTAGATTATATTAAGAAATCCCTTTGAGCTTTTGATTTGCTTCTTGGCTGTCCATTGTAGGTATATGTGCAAAGCATCTAATGAAAACACTTTCTACTTTTGGTAATGAGTTGCCTTTTATAAATGAGGGAGATGCTGTCCCTGGAGAAGGCTGCACATGAAGTATGTAAGACATTCAGGTATCTGAATGGAATCTCATAAAATGAGAGCAAGAAAACCAGAATGCCCTTTAGAGTATCCTCAAAGTTTGTGCAGATGTAGAAAGAATAATACTGTGAGTTTAGAGGTATAAGGCAAACAGATCCAATCCTAAAGGCATTTTTGTTTGGGTGTCCCACAGAGTAGCTGTAAATCTAGAACAGGAAACTTGAAATCATTAAGGTCACATATTTATAACATCATATTCAATTAGGTTAGAAAAGTGCAATTTCTGTCATCATGTCCTAAAAAGATGTGTTTTTCTCTCAGATCTCTTATTAAAAAAAGCTCTCTATATTGTTACAAATAGGGCTGTTTTCAGTCAGTTACAAGGAGCAATTCAATTACTAGATGGTTTAGTGCAGTAACTGACTCCAGACTAATTTAATTTCTTTAGGTCTCCAAAGATCAATTGATCTGATTTGTCCCATCCCCAAAGGCTGCTTAGAAAAAATTCAGACTGAAATACCTGGAAATGAAATCCAAAACCCTGGCCAATTTCACACTACTTAGGTCATCTTGTAAACTTGCAGCTAGTCACATAAGATGCTCTCTTGGCCCTCAGACCATTGAAAGCTTCTTAGCTTCATGTACATGTGAGTGTTCCCCACATCAGGATGTTTATTAAATAAGTGGAAAATGTGGCTGCGTGTGTTATCAAATCCGTCTCTCTAAAGGGTAGTGAGTCGGGGTACTTGTCTCTCATGAGCACAAGTGCAACAAAAGGGGCTATTTTTACTCTAGGAGTAGTTTATTAAGACTATTAAAAGTAGCTTAGATGGGGTAAAACTATGCTCATCTAATAAAGTATAATTATTTTACATTTTGAGATTTAGAAGTGCTTTCATAAATGTCATCTTACATGGTTCTCATAATAAACCTTTGAAGTAAGCAGGGTTATTTTCTCCATTTTTCTAGATGAGGAAACAGACTCAGGGGTTAGGTGACTTCTCTAGGATCACTCAGGCAGGAAAAGGCAGAGCTGGGGCTCTAACCCATGACTTTGTCTCTATATACCATGCTCATCCACTGATTTGAGACAGAAGATATGATGCCCACTGTAAAAACACATCACTTACTTCCCGACTGAGCCACTGTTTTCATTCTTGCCTGACCCCTGACTAGAATGGAGAAAAAGTTCACATATTAAAATCCCACTTACATAAACCCAGTCTGAATCAGTACCTCTGGCACTCCAGAAATAGGAGATAAAAAAGGCCACACCTAAATGCAAGTAGCCTTTGTAAATGGACTCCTTTGTCACCCACGCTGCTGATACCACTTTCTCACTGACTTGGGTCTTATGACCTATTTGCACGCCTATGTCCCACCTAATTGGAGAGTTATCTCCTTGCCATCTCTCTGCATTTTGCAGTGGATTTTTCAACAAGCTCAAGTTTCCTTCCCTGATCTCTCAATACCCCACAGTCACTTGTCAAGCACTCCAACTAATTAATCTTTTCTACTCAGATGCCACAGTTCTATCCAACTTTCAGTCTCTCCTGCTGCATACTTTGTCTCCCCACCAAGCTTCTGTATCTGTTCCCACAAGTCAAAACCACACGCCTATGCTCTGCCATTTGGGAAGGATGAGGGAAGGATAAGACAGATGTTGCTAAAACATGTAATCATCCTTTAATTTGAGTTTCCAGGACAGGTTAGAGAGAAGTGCTGAGGTCAGATGTGACCATGTGGTAGGTAACAAAGAGTGTGGCAGAAACACGTAGCAGTCGTAGGGAAATCACACAAAGATTTGGAGATAAAGTAAACCAGAGGGCTGGTAGCTAGGGTACCCCACCTGTCAATAAATACTCCAGGCCACATAAAAGATCAGATAGAGAAGATGAGTAAGATCTGACGATCTAATGTGTGAAATGGTGACTATAGTTGATAACATTGTATTATATAATTCAAATTTGTAAAGAGAGTGGAACTTAAATGTGCTTACCAAAAACAACAGAATAAGTACAGAAAGTTACATAGTATGTTTAAGGGATACAAATAATCTTCTCCTTGAAAAAACATTTTTTGACATTAATTTTGGGCAAACTGTGCATCTCAATATAGTCATTACTCATCACGTAGACAGTCTCACACTGTGTGAACCATTTTAATTAAATAAAAAGTGGGGTAAATTACGGCACATGATTGTCACTTCCCTTCTTAAAGGTCCTGAGATCTGATAGCTTTCCTATTAAGTATGAGCAGTCTATGCTGTAGGTAAAATATACACCTTGATTTAAATTGCCTCTCCTTGTTTCAAAATTCCAAACTACCTTTAGAGTCTTTATGTTAACAAATATATCCACTTCAGAAGGCAAAGGCTATTAAGAATCTATTTCTCTGTGGATTGCCACTGAAGACATGAAGCTTAATATCATCTAGAGGACTGTGTCTTTGATAACAAAGAAGCCCCGTTGAAAAAATATCCTGTCCAAAGAAACCACTTCACTCAGAAATTGAGTGTAGAATAGATCCAGCTGCTGCAGCTGTCACAGCTTAAGCAGTTGCATATCTACAGGGTTTATAACTGGAAGGGAAGGTGGGGCAGAGAACTGGAGACCATACAGAGTATTGGAGACTCTATACAGTGAGGTTATGGCTCTTTGGTGTTGAAAGGAGTGTGCTCTTACAAACTAGTGCTTCTCTTTATCTTATCTAGGCAAAAAAGTAAACAGAAAATTCTCATTACCTCTCAATGTCAGTGAGCCTGGAGGAGTCCCGGAATCCTTTGGCAAAAGGATTACTATCTATTTTCAGCTTGGTTATCTGGAAAGGGAAGAAAGTGTAACAAAACCGTATCATTTCCATGGTCAAGGAAATAAAATCAGAAATAAAAAGTTTGTTCATTTCCCATCATGGCACCCCAAGAATATCTTAATGTCTCTCAGTATTGTGATAGAGGTTAAAATTGCTAAGGAAGTTCACAAGAGGCCTAAATTGGGTGGAATGGTCAGAGAAGGCCTCAGAGAGAAGGAAGTAGTTGAGGACAGACTGGTCCTAAAACAGGCTGGAAGTCAATGGATAGAGACAGTTTGAAATGGGGGCCTTTTACAAACAGTGTGGCTGCCGTGTGAAGTATTTAAGAGAGTAGTGAAAGGCTAGAGCTCGACTGGGGAATAGGGAAGCTGTCTAGAAGGCCAGCATTGGTGGGTAATGGGGAATAAAAACAACGTTACCTCATGCCGACTTGGCAGCCACATTTGTTAATACCATGGGTACCTATATATACCATAATGGATACCACAGTAGTAACTTCATGTTCAATACTATATGAAATACCTGACATAAATACATGATATAAAGCTTTCAGCATATAAATTTACCCCTGTTCCCCTTTCCATCTGACTAAATAAGAATCAAATTAGTGGGTCTCTTATTATCCTCCCATATAATGTTACTTACAGACTCTATGCTTACATGGAAAAAAAATATTTCCTAATAAGAATCATAGTCTGAAGTATTAAGTGTCTATGTTGTGCTAGTCATAATTCTCACAATATTAATGTAGAAAGATCCATTAAAATATATGCACTGCACCTTCACGGAAAAATGTTAGGTTACAAAGAAAATAAATAAATAAAACACTGATTAAAAGATGCTCTACTTGCAAAATTTCTGAGTGTTAAGAGCTAAAAGGAATGGAGGAGAATTATTGGAATTAGAACCACAGACACCTTTAAAGAGAGTCACAGTTCATTTGTGTCAAAATGAGAACCCACATTCATCTTTGGAAAGGGAGACACACACAGAATAGTCTTAACCTGGAAAAAAAGTTACAGGTTGAGGGCGGCATGCCTTCCTCTTTCAAAGTAAGGAATAAACACAATCAAAAATATATCTATTTTGAGATATATATATATATAATAGTTTGAAATACTATTTTGCCAATAAGTAACTTTCCCTTTGATCAGAGTGTATCTACTTTTCATTTTAAACTATTAACATCTAAAGAATTGTTTTTTTAATTACAAAAGAAAGTCTTTTTTTTTTTTACTTTTCAAGTTTTCTTAATGTGAGCTAACCAATGTACAAGCTGCAAAAAGCTATTTACCTCACTTAAAATAGAACTTCCCACACTATCCTTACCAGAGAGACTGCACTTCTCTATCATTAACACTGGCAAGTTGTAAGATTGATTCTTTGATATTAGTTTTTAAGGGCACTTGACAGTGCCTCAGAAATGCTCATTTTTGTCCCATGCACATTCACTCTAGAGTAGTCAAAAATAAAATTGCTAATTTCCTTTTCAGCTTAGTTAATGGACAATGGTAAACAGTGAAGGAAATAAGCTAGATAAGTAAGAAACCTGTTCTTAATGGACAGCAACAGGACTTCATGTGCATAGAAAGAAATATACAGGAACCACTGAGGTTGCCCCTAAAGTGTGGCCATCAAGAGTTTGTAGAGAACCTTCTCTCACACTCAGCCACCCCTTTAATTAAGGGCATAGATTTCTAAAGGGTGATATCTATTTTAGCCATTCTTTCAGACTAGGATTTAGTATTAAAGGTCAGTTTTCAGGGCAAAGATAAAAAGTTTTATTTGTTTGAAATAAATTACAAACATCTTCTAAAGCTCAAGCAGTCAATATATTCTAGAATTATAAAACACCAACAAGATTTTTAAATCCTCAAAAATGGGATTTCTTTATCTTTTTCTACTGAATAATTATAAATGAAAATACTTTAGATTTCTAAAGTGCTTTATAGTTCATGAAAACACTTTCACAATAATTTATCAACAGAAATGAGATCACATGGTCCCTAAAATTCCATGGAGCAGGCAGAGGCATACATAGAACTGGAAGTGGTTTAAGTGCCACTAAAGAAGCTGGCACCACGTCCCCTGCAGTGTTAGGTGATGTTAAGTGTGAACCAAACCCAGATAAAAGCTTCAAACTGAAACTGTAAGATACAGCAATAAAGTTAAGTCTTCAAGTTCAATTCTTACAAGCTCATTTATAAAAAGTGAATGGATTTGCCAATGGATAAAATTTTCTGGAGACAAAGGCAAATAATATCTGATGGAGAAACTAATTTTGAACGAAGTCCTTTTGCAGCCATCCCTCTAAAATATGAACCATATCAGGAATTCCCTGGTGGTCCAGTGGTTAGGACTTGGCGCTTTCACTGCCAGGTCCTGGGTTCAATCCCTGGTCGGGAAACTAACATCCTGCAAGCCACGCAGTGCAGCCAAAAAAAATTTTTTTAATAAATATAACAAAAAAATGTGAACCATATCAAGCTTTGTTTGAGTCTTTATAAACTAAAAGAATAGAAAACATTATCTATCTGTTATAATAGTTAAAGAACCACCTTTGATCCACTTTGTCCCTGAAAAGGATTTTGAGAATTGTATTTGTTGTTATTTATATTTCCAGGAGGTAGACTGTTGGCTCAGAATGTGATGATTGTGGAGTTGTTGTAGAAAACAAATATTCTCAGTGTGTGTGTGTTAGTTGCTCAATTGATGTGTCACCATATCTAGTATTACTGCCATAACTTTGAATGAGGAAGTGAATCATTCAACACAAGTTTTCAGATTTCTTTGGAATTTTCTTTCATTTATTAGAACTTTCTCTTTGCAGTATCTTTCTGGTCCTTCTTTGATCATCCCCAAGAGTATCAATGGTAACTTTTTTACTTTACATTTGATATAATTTCAAACTGAAGGGAAGTTTCAAGAATAGTACAAGATGTACTCATACAGCTAGATTTACCAGTTGGTTCAGCATTGATTTAACTTTAGTGTGTTAATTAGAAAAGGAGCTCAAGAGAGTAACCAGGTATTTACTTTCTCTATGGACTATTTTAGCTAGTCCAGAGAAAAAAAATGCTTTTGGAAGTTAGAGGAAAAAAGCTGAATGGATCTCTTACTACTAAAATTGTATGGGGGCCCTGAACTAACCACTACAGTCTTGAACAGGCTTTATGGAGTACTGATTAGCAGTTACAGGGACTGTGGGTAGACTTCTTAATGAGCCCACTGTGCTCACTGTGATATCACTAGACTCTGAATCTACTGGGGCACCAACAATAAGCACCCCAGAAATGTTTGTTTGAGCTTTGCTTCCAGGACAAGCAGTCAGAAATAATGATTTCATATGTTTACCAGTTATAGACTAGGTGAAATTCTTGAGTCTACATAAAAAGCATTTTGTTTTCTATTTTAAGATAAAGTAATTTTTAAATAGCAAAGTTTTAACATTCTAGTTAATCATGCACTTTTAAAAGGTCAGGCACAGATTTTATTCCATGGATATTTAAATAAAAACCAGTAGTTATTAGAAAGAAATTCATTTCTGCAGATATAGTTTTATATCCATTTATGAAATGTGGGAGAACGAAAAAGTTACGTATTTGAGAACCGATGAGAGAAAGACCTGAGTTATATACAGTGATGTCAGTTGGACATCATTTTCCTAATATAGAATACCTGCAGCTTGTAAAGCTGTTGAACAGCTCACCCATGTCAAAGGTAAAACTAAAAGAAAGATCCAAAAATAGTCAGTTACCAAAAACATATGTAGAGAACCCATGTGAAACTACAAGTATGTCTTTATGATTCAACAACAAATTTTAAAAGCAGCAATATTTTTCATTTTGTGAGGAAGAATTAACAAGGACAGTAGTATGTGCTTAAGAAATCCTGTTTCAAGTGTATGTACATATATGCAAATCACTGACTAATTGTGGTCAAAATACACCTGTTTTTTCATGTATTATCTTAATAATATGGAACATAATGTACTTCCTAACCAAAAAAATTCATTCTTTGAACATCTCCTTTATAGATAAATATATGTATAAATGGACGGCAGATTTTGACACTGCCAGCTGCACCAAAGAGAAAGGGACTTTTTCTAGTAGTTATTAATCCATGTGATATCACTGGACTGTGGATATAGCTGGGGTTCCCAGCCACAAGGTGAAATTGGCCCTCAGAGACCATTTCTCCAATTATCAGGAAAAGATCTGTCCAAAGGCATTTAAAAATGAAACCTGACCTACACTTCAACTTTACAGCAATGGCTTGCCTGCTCAAAAACAATGTATGACCTTTAAATCTTAAATTATAAAATAGTTTGTTGAAAGTATAATGTATTTAGCTTTAATCTAATAATGTAAAGAAATGCAATCATTTCCTCACAAAAACCAGAGGAAAAAATAGAAAAAAGGTCCCGTTTTCATTACTTACAAATAAAACTACCAGACACAATAAATGAGAAGCTTTTACACGAATTCTAATGGAAAATTTGATTTGGCTTTTAATATATATGTAAATAATGTCCTATCCAAAGTTTAAGAGATATAAAGGCGGTCCTAAGTATGAACTTTTAAATCTTCTTTCTCTCTTTTCTCCCTGTTCTTTGTGCATGAAAATACTCTAATATTTATACTGTACTTAGTACATATTTAATTTATTTCCTATATATTTATTTTATGTTTATTATGGGTAAATCAGTAGACAAGCATGGTATAGCAGTGAAAAGGCAGTAAATGTGAGGAGGCCTAGAAAGAATCAAGGATAACTTTAGAAAACTGTATAAGACTAATGAAAATACTAACCCCCAAAATGATTTATTCACCCCACGTGAGTTTCGATTGGTCTTATGAGGTCTATAAACCATTTGCAAAAATGGCTCATTAGTATACCAAATCAAATTTTTGACTATTAATTGAATTTCAAATATATATGTGAGTAGATTTCACTTCACCACTGTGGCTGCCATCTTCTTTGCCTGTAAACTGGGACTAAGAAACAGACCATCTTAGGGAACAACTGTAAGGATCAAATGAGATGCTGTGCATAAACATGCCTTTGGAAATTGTAAGGCACTCTGTAAATAAAGCATGTGGTGACTGTTGGACTGTCTCTGGAATGTCCAAAGAGGATTTGCCACCATTTGGATTTTTAAATGTTAGTGGCAACTTTTCAATGAAATAAATGAATGCACAAATGTTATACTATTTATCTTTAAGTAAAAGCACACACATACAGCATTGTGCTAGGGATTATGGCTTTAAAGGTGGGTGCAAAGAAATAAACTCAGACATGGCAGGATCTATTGAGAAAAGCAGTACTGAATTTAATCACTTACTGTGGATTATTTAGCAATGAAATGATATATACTATATTAATCGTTACACTTAATGATGCAGTGAAAGCTAGCTAGGCACTGGTAGGTGGATTTTGAGCCCATTTATAATCTTAATTAGAAATAAACATTCTCAAGAGGAGCAACTAGTGTTGGGATATGTTTATTAGAATCTTAGCCTATTTTAATTTAGCAATATTTTCACATTCAGTTTCCCAGCCTTGACACTGTCAGTGGTCATTTTCTTGGCCTTGCAATCCAGCAGGATGCTACCAAAATGGAGGAGTTAATACCCAGAAGATGGTTCTTTCACTTACCAGATTTGTGACCTTGGGCAAGTGTATTAACCACTCTGAACCTCAGTTTCTTCATCCACAAAATGAGGCTTATGGGGCCTTATTCAGGGGATTAGTGTCAGAATTAAGTGAGATATTGATTAAAAATATAGAGAGATTCTTCTAAATTAAAATAAATCCAAACCATTAACCTTAGGTGGATACTAGTTCAAAGGTGGGGTGGGGGGGAAGGCTATAAAGACATTTGTAGGTCCATCCTGAAATTTTTAATATGAACTCAATTTTAGATGTTGTAAAGATACTGTGGTTACAAAATAATCTTATTGTCAGTCTAAACTTGTAGAAGTACTTACAGGTAAAGTATCATGATGCATGCATCTTAGTTTCAAATGGTTGCGAGAAGGGGGAAAATATGTACATGTACAGAGATTGAGAAATGGGGCAGGGGAGGTAAAGCAAATTGGAAAAATGTTAATTGTTGAATCTGGGTGGAGAGTATATGTGGTTCATTTTACCATTTGTTTGACTTTGGGATATTTGAAAATTTTCTAGATAAATGTTGAGTGGAAACAAAAGAATTCAGTGAGGTAATGTCACTAAAGCATATGGCTCCTATTAGAAACAGCTAATGCCAGTGGATATTTTGACTGTCAATATAGGTTGATTACCATCTTGTTACACTGGCTGCTGTCAGTGTGAAGAGCTCCCTGCATACAGCATGTAAGCAGTGAGCACTTGCTGAAAAGAAAAGAAAAGAAATTAACACAAAGAACTGAAACCCTCTAAAAAGGATGTCTTGAATCCATCAGGGTCACAAGCTGAGAGGAGGTGAGGTTCCCCTTTTTGGGGACACCAAGCACCTAAAGAGGTTAGGTTTTTAAACCTAACTCCCTGGATTCATATCTGTGATGGGAGCAGCAGGGTCACATTGGATAAGTTATTTAACTCCATGCCTCCATTCTTTGAACTGTAAAATGCAACGTAAAAATACTGTTGTTCCTATCTAATAATATCATTGTGAGGATTAAATAAGACAGTGCACTTTAAATGGTGCCTTGTGCACCCAAATATTAGCTGTTATTATAATTATGGAGATAATAACCTCCTATTCCGTGTTCCATGATATGAGAGGTCCTGCCAATATTTATTCAGGATTGCTTCTTCACCAATTAAACCAAATCTAAGGTGTTACACTTAGAACTTTCCATAATTTTGTTCTGCCCGTAATTTTCACTAAACAATCCCAAGTTACCTATTCTTGCTTTGGCTCCCTTTACAGATAATTCTGAAAAAAGCAATGAAGTTTCCATATGACAAGTTTTTATTTCATTCTCAAACATCAGCAGGTTTTCTTGTATTAGTATAAATCTGATGTTTTATAATATAAAAGCTACTAATTCAGTTAGTGTAAATTGAAATAAATGTTTCAGGAATCTTTTTAGAACCTGTGATACCTGTATTACATGTGTCCTCAAATAAATTAAAAATGGGATTGTTGATGTCAGTGTTCCAGATTCTAAGAGAAATAGCATTATGTTTCAGGGCTTTGTGGGCTTCACTATATACCCAAATTTTTAGCTTGGGCATTCTCTGAAAGTTGCCACTCTTGTGTTGTTATCTTAAGGATAATTAAAAAGTTATAGTACTTTGCTTTTACTTAAAGATAAATAGTATAACATACGTGCATTTATTTATTTCATTGAAAAGTTGCCACTAACATTTAAAAATCCAAATGGTGGCAAATCCTCTTTGGACATTCCAGAGACAGTCCAACAGTCACCACATGCTTTATTTACAGAGTGCCTTACAATTTCCAAAGGCATGTTTATGCACAGCATCTCATTTGATCCTTACAGTTGTTCCCTAAGATGGTCTGTTTCTTAGTCCCAGTTTACAGGCAAAGAAGATGGCAGCCACAGTGGTGAAGTGAAATCTACTCAAAGTCATATGGAAATTATAGGTGCTTATGCCTTACAGACACATACCCACGCTGGCCATTTTTCTACACCCCTTCTCTGACTTCCTGTTTCCTCATCTGTGTAGGGCTACCTGGGCTTTCAGTTTCATCTTCTTGCTTTTCCTGAGAGACGCAACACCATTTTTGCTTGGTTGACCATCCCACTCTGGACTCTGAGCCATCGATCAGGCAGCACCTAACAGTTTTTCACTCAGAACCCAAAATATAACATCAAGACATGAGGAGAGCAAGAGTCCTGGCTACCTATAACCAGTAAAATAAAAGCAAGACACAAAACCCAGAGTAAACTGACAATGTGAGTTCCTTTTACTAAAGTACAGTATATCAAAAGGAATTCTACTTCTGGTCCATTTGGACTGTGGAAAAGTTCCTTGTCCTCTCTTAGCTTCAGATTCCTCACTAAAGAATGTTACTGTTACCCCCGGCCTTCAAGATTATGCTGACCATGAAAGAATACATGGGGAAGTATCTAACAGGACTCAGTCCTTAGCAACACTTTGATAAATATTTACAGTAGAGTTGGACTAAGCCTTATGGATGAAGAAATGCATAAATTTTAAATATGATTTACAACAGAGAATAGAAAATATATAACTCAATATTATAAATTAGATATCTTGATGTTAATTAAATACACAACTGCTTACATACTACAGTCTATTATCTAAAGAGGCATTTAAGATCATTCTACTAGAATTATCTTACCCTGAATTACAGCTGAATAAATCTCACAAAATATCTAACGTATCAGTAGTTTGGGTAGTTGGCTAGCACACTACGTGTGCTAATTTAGCAGAAAAACTGAACTTCTAAATTTTATGAAGCAATGAGTGTATGGTAACATGTCATGAGGCTCTACCAGAAAGAGAAGGAAGCAGGTAATGTTCTTGAGAAAATTTGAGAAGGCAGATTGGGTCAGGTTTGGGTGGGACATGTGAACAGTGAATAGCCTGACCAGGACTATAAAGGTTCTAAGAAAGATGGTGTAATACAGACCTTCATAACCTTGAGCCACAGATACTCAACATATTTGGAAGTCCTGGGGCTAATTCTCCATAGCTTTCTCCAAAGTGAATTTCTGTTTTGAGTACTGGGGTAGCCCTTCTCTCCAAGAAGATAACTCTCCTAAAGCCTTATCTTATTTGTGAAATAAATTGTGAAGGGTATACTCACCAGTTGATTCTGGTAGGCAGTGACCGCCGTAAAAACTGTTTCTGGAAAGATGAATGTTCTGAATTCTTCAGACTTCAGATTAAGTAATGAGGCTGTGTGGTCTTTCTTCTTAATGATATGCACCCGTGGCTGGTACTTATGCATTGAGTTCAAAATTATCTGCAGCAAAGAGTGGGAAGTACAGTACTGGATTTTAAGTACTTATAGTGCTAATAAACAGGCCAAATTACAATGAGGCAAAGAAAGAACCATAAAATCTACTGTGTCAAATGCAGTTTTAAGATTAGGATCTGCCCTTTCCATTCTTCACGCAAATAATTTTCACATGATAACTGCAGAGTATTGTGAATCACGTTTTACCAAACCAACTGTAAATAATACAGGTTGTTTCAAGTGTCCTTTCTAAAATGATAGAGGAAAAAGTCATCTGGAGGATGTTTATTTTTTAAAAAATGTTTTTTGTTTTTTAGTCTGGTTAGACCAAAGGCAGTATGTCTCTAAATTTTCTAAAGTAAGAAATTACATATTTGAGGAGGCTAGATTGTTATTTGGAGCAGTGGGGGGTGAGGGGTGGGTGGCAGATGGGATGGAGGGAATAAAACAATTTTAAAAGGCAGTGTGGTATAAGGTAGACCTTGGTTGGAATACTGAATCTGCTACTTTCTAGCTCTTTAATCTTGGGCCAAGTGATCTCACCTCTCTTACCTCATTTTCTTAAATGCAAGAACAGTATTAACTTCACAGGGCTTGTGGTAAGGATCAGACTCTGTAACCCTTGTAAATCACATAGCAAGTAGGAAGTGCTTAGTAAACTGTATTATTAGTGTCGTCGTCATCATTTCTGACAACTTCATTGATTACTGACTTCCAGTTACAAACTAAGTAAGAATGTTAGTGATGGACGTCTTCCATTCCATAGCTGCTAAAAGTTGCCTGGTACTTAGAGATCAGAAATATACCCTGTTAACAAGGCAGTATTTTTCATGTATCATTTAAATAAAATACAATAATTTACCATTATGAAATTTGAGCAACAAAACTTGCTTTCAGATATTAAAGATTTTCCACATCTCCCCCTGCCCCGCAACCCAGACAGCTACCTAAATCTACAAAATCGGGTATGTCTTTCCTGGGATAACAGGGCTTACAATGTATGCCCTTCACCCCAAGGGCCTAGCAGAGAGCTTGGCTCTCAGGGGAGGTGTCTGATACATGCTGTGGCAGGATGAGGGTCAATGGCATGCAGTGTTGTTGCTCTCTTGTTCTTTGGCTAACTTGGGTGTGGTGGGTGACTGTTAACACTAGTTGACTTTAGCAGAGTTAAATACTAGTCACTGTGAGATAACCGATACCAAATCAATCTCTTTCCATGCTGAGATATAAGCCAACAAAGTTACAGGGCATTAACTGGCATTGAATTTTTGAACATGCCATCTTTTTATGATCCCAGACCTGAATAGGAATTACTGAAACAAATGAGACATTCAAATAAATCAAAAGAAACTTAAAAATAAGTTATTTCTTTGTGTAATGCATTTATTCCAAGGAGTTCAAGATACCTATGCTCAGTCATAAAACTGGAATAAACTTGAAGTGACAGAAGTAAACATTTGCCTCCTAATCCTGATATAAGAAAAACCTGACCATTCATTATATGTTCTACTAAGAAGACAGAGTTTTCAAATCATAAACACACACACACACACACACACACACACACACACACACACAATGGAAAAAAACGTAAGCTTTAAATAAGGTCCCCTCTTCCTTATACCACTCCCATGTTAATTTCCTTTAGGAAAGGGTGCTGGACAGACTCAGACCGCAGACTGAGTCTCAGATCCCAGGGCTCCTTGAACCTCTGCTCAAGCTTTCATGGGGCTAAGAAACACTGATAAAAATGTAGACGTTGTTTCATCGAAGAAATAAATTCCTGGAAATAAGAAATTTTCCTGGAATGCATCTACAAAGGGGGCTTCTTTAGGACTGATTCAGAGAACTTGGCTAAACACCACAGGATCTAAAAACATTTCCTGGTACTTTTCAGAATACACGATTTCTGGTAACAAAGAGTTATATTAAATAATAAAATTTTAAAGCTAAAATGGATATTAGCAACCATGTAAGACTTAATTTGTCAAGGTCTAATCTTAGCATAATCAGACTAGAACCCAGAGCTCCTGAAATATAGCTTAGTGCTATTCCCATCCATGAAGCTGATGCTAAAAGGAAAACATATCAGTTCTGGACAACTGATCTCAAAATGAATTCTCAGGTCTTTCTGGAAAAACTCAAACAGTTCTTAATAAAAGTTTCACATTGGAGAATACTAGAACCATAAAAAAATTTCATTTATCTCTGCAAAGATTTCAGTGGAGCCCAAGAAATTTTAATATGAATGACATTAAGAATGATCATGGGCCTATAGAAAATGTCTCTCAGATACTTCATAAATTTTAACCTGAAAAAAAAAATCTGTCAATGAAAACATCTGAAAGAAAGGACAATTCTGCCAACATCCTTGAAGGTAAAAATCAGTTATCTTTTCCAATACATCAAGTAACAGAAGCCTGTTAACCTACTTCCATCATCCCAACAGTGCCACCAGCAGAGTTGTTAGTTAACCTGGTTACTCTGACTTGGTCGAGATAAACAAGATCTCCTGTGGGCATATGGATAGTGGCAGTGCCTTAAGTGATTTACTTGGTTCCAGGTTCAGTCAACCATTTGAAACCACGTCTAGAGCTCTCTCTTAACTACGTGTAACCATCTTTTTTGAGAAAAGTTTTGAAACTCTTTTTCTGAATTGCATAAATCCAGTAAAAACTAAAACCTTAAGTAACAGGAGCCTTAATAAAGGGGATAAGAGAGAGAATTATTATATCAGAATATCTAAGCCAAGGAAAGCAACTATGAAAATCCCAATGTGCTTTCTGGCAAACGAGGCAAAAAAAGAAACAGTATTCTCCTCATCAAAAAGAAGCATGCATGTCTGTCTAAAGTTTTCTTAGTATAAAATCTAAAACATTTTTTAAAATGTGAATCTTTATTTAAGAGCATGAAATAACAGCATAGATAGTTCCTTAAAAAGCAGTCTTAGCAAATATGGAAAAGCCTGTGTCAATGGCTATTCTATTAACTGTTGATAAGAGCTAAGAATTCCAATTTCTCTTTTCTTCAACATTTTAATGAACTCCTTACTGATGTAAAATCAAATTGTTTTGTTTTTAACTGCAAGACTTCATTGTGTTTTAATATTCATAAGGCGCTCTACAGAGGGGATATATAATGAGCTAACAGCACTTTCCCAAATTTATTTGTACATAAAATCCTTTTGCCCCATTGCATCGCACAAGAATGTATTCTATACAACACACTTTGGGAAACCCCCATAGGAGGTCTCAGCCCCATTCCCTTTATGCTGTGTTATCTGATATACCACTGATAGAAATTAGATGTTTAATCCAAGAATGGGCTGTAGTAACCTCCAAAATGCACATTCCCTTTGTTTAGTTGGTGCAGGTGTTAAAGCAGTTGCAAAAGTAGAAATCCATGGTGCCAGAGGTCCCTGACCCTCTTGCATAGAAATGGCGTACAGCATCTCTGTAAATGACCTCTTGACAATAGCAGTCAGGGTTCCCTGTAGAACATATGAATGTTCTCATAGAATGACTCAGAGCTGGAGGGTGGGAGGGGGAAAGGGAGAGAGGAAGAGACATCGAGGGAGGAAGCTTTATGTGGCTTCTCCATTCCATCCCAGGGAATCCGCATAGTCCAAGCACTGTACTCACATGGCCATGTTGATCCAGTTCATTGTTGGTGAGTTTCACCTTTTCAAAAGACACCATCTGTTTAAGTAGCTGCTCACCAGTAAAAGGAGAGTCTGGATGTACATACAGCCTAAGAAAATTATGAGAGAATTTTATTGAGACTTTAAAAAAAAAATCTCTTTGGGTTATAAAATATTCTGATTCTAAAGGAACACAAAATTCTCATATAAAGTGAATTTTATTTGCCTCGTATAATCTCAAATTTAGTAATACAGCAATACCAAAATAATGCTGAAACATCTAAATGTGTTTCTTTGTGTACCAATGATTTAAAAGGGGTAATACTAATGGTAGTATATATGTCAATCCTAATCTCCCAATTTGTCCCACAGGAAGCTCAGCTCAGTGCTCTGTGACGACCTAGATGGGTGGGATGGGGGCAGGTGGGAGGGAGGTCCAAGAGGGAGGGGATATATGTATACATATAGCTGATTCCCTTCATTGTACAGCAGAAGCGAACGCAACATTATAAAGCAATTATAGTCCAATTATAAATAAAATGTACTTAATACATTTGCTGTTATTTGCTGAACAAGCCATTTTTTTAAAGGTGGGTTTTTCCCATCCACCTAATCAACTACTAGTCTGCTTCTGTCAAATATAAAATCCTATTGTTGTAGATATTTTCAAAAGAAAGACTAGGTTATAACTAATTGCAAAATGAATTCCTAGTATAAGCACTGCTAAAAAGCAATGAAGACAAAGAATTTAAAAGAGGAAACAATTCTAGAGAATCTGTTCATTTAAACTTGAAGGTGATTCAATTTAAAGTTCATGTTCTTTATAAACAAGACAGAATAATTTTAATACAGTGACCTGGGGAACTTTTAATAGTCCACAGATCACATAGTCTGTTTGCTTCTCCCGGTACTTTAAATATTACTACTTTCATCATCACCTAGTTAAGTGCTCACTAAGGAGGGTGAAAACAAGTTGGGTAAGCTTCAAATTATTCAATGTATTTATCTAACAGTCTAAGCAAAAAAAAAAAAAAAAAAAAAAAAAAAAA